TGCTGATCGTTTAGGGCAAATACAACATTTTTATTTAGCAGGTTATTCGTAATGCCTTTTAAAAGGTGTGGAGGATCATATAAATGAATCACTCTCAAACAGTCGGTCCCTAACATCACTCATAGAATTTCTTTTTGTACCCTAGGTTTCTTTTTAAATATCCTGCTCGTTCTTAAGAATATTTATTGCAGCCGTATAGTTGCATCTAAGTAACAAACAATTTTCAGATCAGTAGAATGGACAGCTTTAATTACAATTTTTATTTGATTTGCTATATCATGGATACTTTTATTTTTACAAAAAGTGTAGAATATAGGTTGTTTGAATTTTTTTACAATTCCTCTTATCAAAAAAAACTTACGAATGATCACCAAAATTCTGAGTTCTTGACATTTCATTATCTTTAAATCTTGTTATGAACCAGTAGAGTCATTCTATTGTAAGCTAGCTTAAAGACTAACTTCATCAAAAACTATAACGCAATATTTTTGACGATCCGATAGATTTTTAATATATTGTAATTAAAGTATTATCGATGCTCGTTTCTGTAGGTATTTTAGATAGTAGATTTGATAATGTTTTTCGACAAGGAAGTGTAAATAATTTGGATAAAATGTTATAAGATTTGGCCTCTCTTTTAAACAATGACAAACTCAACAGCTTTTCTTAAAGTGTAAATCTTCTTCCTTTCGCTGTAGTATTTGTTTCACGGAGTTGTAGTCTAGTGAATATAGCCACAGCTGTAGTCACATGGCTAGAAAATTTTGAATTAATTAAACTATCAGACATTTTTTCAGCAATATCAAGTCGATTTTTGAGCTTCAGATATCTTTGTTTTATGTAACGAAATTGTTTATTCAATAAAACGCTATCTGCATACATTGATTTGCATTTGGGTGTTAATAGACTTGCTCGCCAATTTTCAATAACAGCTCTACAAAAACAAATTTAAAATATTTGGTGTATGGTTACTTTCTTATCTAAAACCCTCGCCACTGAATGGCTATTAATAGTAGAGCGTTGGTTTATGTAGCGTTAAAAAGTCCGTTATCTAAGGTTTATGTTATGATTAGTTCAGTTTCAACAATACAGTGGACAAAGTAAGACCGTGCGTTAGCCGTGGAGACCTACTTTTCTTTCAGCCGTTCGATCATCGCAACTCAGCATGAATTCAGTAAGCACTTTAATATCGCACCTGTAGGTCATGTGCCTGATCGGAAATCGATTTATTTATGGATGGACATGTTCAGAGATACCGGTAGTGTATAGAAGAAACATAATGGACCTTCCAAAACCCGTCAGGACATCAGAAAACAACGAAAGGGTAAGAGTAGCGCTTTTGAAATCCTCTAGGCGATCTGCACACAAACATTCGGCTTTTTTTAGGGATTTCTTATCGCATAGTGAGACGAATTCTTCATGAAGAACTCAATTTTCCTCTATATAAACTGGCAGTTGTGCAATAACTTAATCTGCGCGATAATATTGAGCGAAAAAATGTATGTGAAGCCTTTCTCGAAAACTTGCCTCAGAACGCTCTTATTTTCTTTAGTGACGAGGCACATTTCCATATTTTAGGATGCGTGAATAAACAAAACATGTGATATTGGAGCTCCACAAACCCGAGAAAATATCATGAGCGGCCTCTGCATACAGAACTTGTGACTATTTGGTGTGCAATATCCAGGATCGGCATTATTAGTCTGTGGTTTTTTGAAGAGAATGAAAGATCAGTTACGGTCAATTGTGAACGTTATGTCAGCATGATTGAGAATTTTTTTCTACCCAAACTCGAAGAAATGAATGCAGGGGAAGTGTGGTTTCAACAGGATGGCGCCACGGCTCACGGCAAAAAGGCCAATGAATCTCTTGCGGGAACACTTCCCCAAACAGCTTATCTCTCTTAGAAGCGATCTTCAGTGGCCAGCGTGATCGCTAGATTTAGCCTTATGTGATTTTTTCCTGTGGGGCTACCTTAAATTTTTGGTGTACACGGATCATCCAAAAACCCTCCGTCATTTAAATAACAATAAGGTCTCCAGACCTAACTCCTATAGATTTTTTGTTTGGGGAGACCTCAAAGAACGAGCTTACCAAGGAAGTCAATTCTGAAGTAGAACTAAGGCAGAGAATTCTTCAAACCGTTATTGAAATGCAGAGAGTGACGAAAGCAGGAATAACTGGGAGAAAAGTACTTGAAAGAGCACATGCTTACTTGAGGCAAAACGGTGAACACTTTGAACAGCTTTTACATTAAATTTAGGTGTACAAACATAATTTTAAATCTTTTGAAATAAAATTTAAATTAGTTTACTAGGTTTTGTATTTATTGTTTAGAATTTATTTGCGTTTGAGATTTTCATCTATGTATTCAAATTAATTGTAGCACATATGGCTTAGCAGATATGAACATTATAAGCGTTGAAAATCTTATAAAATTTTGAAGTTTTCATGAAATTTGCAACCCACTGCCTTAAAAAATAATTGTTATGCTCTTTAACTATAACAAATGATCATAAACTAACTGCTGCTAGAGATTATAAACATTATAATAAGTACAGTAGAAACCGTTTATAATGACATTCAAGGGACTAGTCAAAAGTGGTCATAATAACCGGTTGTCATTATAACCAAAATGACAAAAATTAAATTAAAAACTCTTTTATATACATGCAATGATCAAAATATTTTATTACAATAACATTTTTAATGTGTTATTATATTATATATGTATATAAATCGTAAATTTAATTGATATGGAAAAAAAAATAATACAATTTTTTAATATTTAATTATTATGTATTTTAAAATAAAATTTATTGTAAATTAAAAAAATCTGTAATCTTAGTTTGTATTTTATTCGTATAGAAATCATTCTCAATTTTTTTTTCTAATTTATCAAAGTTAATTGTTGAACTTACATTATTTAAAGCCATATAATTTGATAATTTTTTTACTGCATTGAACACTGCATTTATGGAAAAATCTTCATCAGCCGTATCAGCTTCTTCATTATTTTCGTCTTCCTCAGGCGCGTCGCTGAATGAAGAAATAAGTTCTTGATCATTAAGCGGTTCTGATGTTAGTAAATTATTATCAAAGTTAACATAATCATCAATATCTGGAAAACATATTTCTTCTTGTTCTTCTTGGACTAACTGTTGTTGTATTGCATTTTTGAAACCCGCATGATGAAAACAGTTTTGAATCGTACTCTCTGTTACTTTTTCCCAAGCTTTGAAAATCAGTAATATGGCATCTAATACGTTGATATTGGTATCAATTTTATTTTCCATATTATTGATCATTTTTAGCACCAAACTTTTTCGAAAATAAGTTTTCATACATTTTATTACACCTTGATCCATTGGTTGAAGAACAGACGTACAGTTACTGGGTAAAAATACAAGTTTAATATTACGCAATACAACTTTAGAATGTGCTGGACAGTTATCAACTAAGAGTAAAATTTTTTCTTTTTTTCTTCCCAACTCTAAATCCCAATTTAATAAAATTTTAGACCATAATTCTGCAGTCATCCAAGCTTTGGAGTTTGATTCATATGTTACCGGTAGACAGTCGATATGTTTGATATTTTTGAAACACCGTGGATTACGAGATTTTCCAATTACAATAAGTTTCATTTTTTTTCCAGTTATACTTGCTGTAACTAGGATGGTCAGACGTTCTTTAGACATTTTACCACCTGAACATCTTTCTCCTTTAAATTTAAATGTTCTGTTTGGAAGCATTTTGAAAAAGAGCCCAGTCTCATCTGCATTATAAATTTGATCATCTGTGTATCCTTCCCGTATTTTTGGCCATACTTTTTCGAGCCAATTTTGTGTTATTTCAGTGTTGACCGAATTGGATTCTCCACTTATTGTCGAAAACACAATATTATGTCTTGATCTAAATCTTTGAATCCAACCAGTGGAACAATTAAAATTATGCTTACCAAGGCCTTCAGCTAATTCATTGGCTTTCTGTTGAAGAATTGGTCCATTTATTGGAATGCATAAATTTCTTTGATTTTTAAACCAACGTAGTAAAACCGTGTCTAAATCCATATGCGTACAATTTCGAAGTTTTTTAACTGATAATTTTTCGTTTTGAAACATTTGTTCTATTTTGTCACGAGCTTTCCATATGTTAGAAATTGTGGAGTGACCTACGCCTAATTCATTTGCTAGATCGGAATTTTTTTCACCATTTTTTAAACGAAAAATTAAATTTGCTTTTTCTTCAATTGTAAATTGCTTTCGTTTATTCATTGCAAAGATTGAACACTCAAACACAATTTACGGTTTATCACACGACAATTACGATCAAGTACACGAATATCGGAAGACTGACGATAAATTTACAAAACAACGATAAATTAGCTTTATCGGTTGTTATAAGACCTTCGATAAAATAAAATATAAAGTCATTATAGATAAAACCTTTTTCCAATAAAATCAAAAATAACCGTCATAACATCCGTATAGTCATTATACAGACGTCATTATAACCGATACAAATTAGTACATACAATATAGGAGTTTTGCCGGGACCTTCAATCTAAGGTCATTACACCGGGTATGTCACTACAACCGGTGTCATTATAAACGGTTTCTACTGTATCTTTTATAATATCCCAACTTAGTTTTTAGCATATTGAAACAAAATTTAATTGACATCATTGGTCAAAATTTACCGACAATATGCCACCATAAAACTTTAAGAATTGAATCGACCAATATCATAAATAATAATATAAATGTAAATACAATTATATAAAATGACTATGGTAATTTGTTTCTTAAAAAATATATTAATTCTATTATAAAAATGATTGTCTGTGATTGGTGCACACAAATTAATCAAATTATGAAAGACAAGAAAAAGTTAACGCCAACTGAAACTGATCAAATTAAATTAAAAGCTTTTAAACGGTATATAACTTTTTCGAAAAGGATTAGATATAATTTTATTTAATTGTTTAATTTATAATCGATATTATTATTATTAATTAATTTGTAATTATTATGATAGTACTTAATGAGTTAATTTATTTGTTGATTTGTAATTTTTAACTACAATTATAGTTTGACACGTTGTAACTTGTACTTCAAAACTGTTAGTTTTATTACTAAACTGTTATATTTGAATATTAAAATATTCTTTAATAAATCCTGAATTTGTAAAAAAAACAACATAATAATATGTTTGAGCATTATAAATTGGTATAATAAAATGTCAATAATTTAATAACCATTGATACGCGCCTCTGCTGCGTAGTTCTTACATAAAAAACCAGGAGCGCTGTTTGCAATGTCTTGAACATTAACATTACAATTAATGCCCATCTATTAGTATTCTTATCTATCCACGCAGTACCTCGGCTGAAATCGCGCAGTCAGTTTATGCTTTTAAATTTTGCTAATAATTTCGTGTCCAGCCAAAAATATCAAAACAGGCTTCGTCTTCAATGTGACGAAATAATAAAAATATATTTGAAAATGTTATCGTCATTATCGTTGAGCAAAATACCATTGTAATAACGTGCATTATTATTGAGCACTCGTCGATCATCTTCGTCTTTCACGAATATCAGAAATAGATATGTTTCAGGTGTAATGAATATTAAATATTTTTCATCAATATCCTCGGTGATATTGTTACCTACCTGACGATATTTTCAGGCACGCAGTGGCTACTGTCGTAAAATACGTATTTACTTATACTTAAATATACGCTGGTCATGCGCTAACGTTGACTAATAATATCGTTGGAATGTTCGTATGAAAAATAAAAAAAAAAACTGTGGTCGGTGCTAAAATATAGCGTCGATCTGTTTTTGATGATGCTGAAATTTGTTGTCGATCGAAGGTTGTTGATTGATAATGTATACAGTTGGTTGTATGTTAAACATGGTAATATTGCTAAATATGTAGTCAATTACTTGCAATAGATATATTTTTCACTCAGTAATAGCTTTATAGAAAACGAGCATCATTAACTGCATAAAGTTGATTATTTATTTGAAATAGGAATATTAGTTAATATTGTAATAAAACGGAGGTATTCATGTTCAGCTCTGCTCGTTGTGATGGACGAAATAAAAATTAAAGCTTTAATAATTTGATTAATGTGGTATCAACTAAAAAATAAAAATAAATAAATATTAAATGTGTAGGCTGTATGTATTGGAAAATAATTTAAAAATTGTTCCTCCTAGAGATTGTTTCTCTTTGATTTAGGTCTATGTTTTGATACATACTATCAAAGAAAGTTTATTGTTTAAAATGTCTTATTATATTCATGAGTTAGCATTTATATCAAAATAATATAATTACTAAAACATAAATATAAATAATATAATATCAAACTATATATTTTAAAGTCAAAAGTACTGTTTAGAGTGAATTTTTGCGGAATTCTTACATTAAGGTAATTTATTATGTATATTCGTTGAGATTAAAACCCTTACACAACCAAGTTTATCAAGATAAAAATGTTTTTTGTAACTTCCTGACACCACCACATTGTTACCAAAATCATTGCCTTCATAACATGGTTAAGAAGCTCATCATATCCTGACAATGGCATCTACATATTACGCTTGAACCAATATATATTCCTATTATCACATTAGCCTTAACTTTTAGAAAATAAATTTTACAATTTTTTCTAATTTCAAATTAATGTTTAAAGAAATTTTATGCCGAAGCCATATTGTCTATACATTTTTCTTTAAAAAAATAGATAGATACAATATCAATTTTTTAAATAATAATTTTTATTTGAAATTATACTTTGAATAGACCAGTCTTAGTTTGTCACTTTTTATAATGATTCATCAAGGTACGGTTCAATAGATTTTTTTTTTGCAAAAACCACATTCTAAAAATCCTGTATGAAAATATTTTAGTGGTTGTATGGTTGATGTCACAAAATTATTGTTGATCGGCAACAATATATAATGTGGGTAGTGTAATAAAATATTATACTTAATTTAATAAATATAAAATGACAAAATTAAATTTTTACACTTCAAGCTTTTTGTCTATTGTTCATTAATATTGTGTTTTTTTTATTTTTATCCTGACGTATTTATGAGCTCCTATTATATCCATATATACACGACTATTGTCTATTTTATGATATAATTGTATTAGTTTTTAGTAAAAATACAAGAATAGTTGAATTGATTAATAAATAAACACATCAAGGTGTCTATTGGTGTTGCATATTGCTTAAAAAGTGTTAAAAAATACAATACAAGTTTTAAAATCAAGAAATTCATATACCATCATTTAATGTTGTATCATAACAGAACTGAGTATTTTACACCCAGAGCGCTAGTAGTACAACCGATGCCGAGCACAGTATCATTAATATAACGACTCAAACTGTCGTCCGCGTCGTTAATTATTGTAAATTTGTAATATGCGTTCTCGTTTTCCAAGCTCACGCCGGATGTGGAGTACTATTCACACGTCGTAATTTCGTAATTGTTCGCAGTGTTGACTTTTTGAAGTTATTATTATTATAATATTTATTTTAAAATTTAAAACGTGTAGTGAAAGATTATATCAATAAATTACGGAATGAAATATTAAGACTAACTAAAATTGCCAATTCGGCACAACCAATGATAAATCATTATTATTGAATAATCATTAATATATTAAATGATAATACGTTTAATCGGTGTATGGCTATCAGTATAGCTGCTACCTATACAATGGTTTAAAAAATTACGGTGATTTACGCCCACGGTTTGTAATATATATTAGCGCTTCTAAAATAAATAGTAATAAAATTGCACGATTTGAAACGTGGTATAAAAAAAAATAAATAACCGTTCTCGCACACAGTATAAATTCATAATGATATATAACGGTGATCGCTGACCATTTGAGCCAGTATGATAATTTATTACAATAAAATGGGCGATAAGCGCGCTTTCAGATTAAAAACAAGTGATAGTTTGGCTATCATAACAATTTTTGCCTCTAATATAATTTAATATATAAGTACATTTATTTGTGTAAAAACGATAATATTATTTGCAACAGACGGAGATCGACAAAAAGCCTGCCATGCTATTCTGCATACCCTGCGAAACAGCGCGGCTAGCAATAATATGTCTTAAGTTAAATATTGTATTATAATTTAAAATGCCGTAATAATAATTATACATAAATAATACGATGAAAATATATAATGTGTGTGTTACCATGTGTTCCTTGATGCCCGTGAACTACTTATATATTTGTATTAGCAGAAATGCCTGTAACCAGTTGTTAAGTTGCAGAAAGTCTTCAGTCTGTTGAAATGAGAAGGAAAATTTTATTTTTATGATCAATTGACGGTACACCACTATTAGAACTTATGAAATTAATTGTTATTCTGATAAATTTAAAATAATTTGCCAACAATTTGTGTATTTCTAAAAGAACATTTAAAAAATTATATACAATCAAAGTATGAAGAAAGTATTGAGTTTTTTAATACTTAAATATGAGATACCCATGAAGTTTAAAATATAAGATTAATAACAATTTATTTGAATTTTCAAGAAAATATTAAATATAGGTAAGTCTAGTAAACTTGAAAGCTGAAATGATAGTTCTATGAAGTATGATTAAAAGGAAAACGTTGTAATTGATGACATCATATCCATTGTAGACAACAATATGTTAAAAATTTATTATAAATTGTAAAAACTGCATTAACTAAACCAATATCATTTGCCTCATATGAACATTCATTTCTGTTATGAGTCGAATAAAGAATTGGACTAGAAATACCATGGAAAGTGATAGGTTCATAAACTTGTCAATACTTCGGATTGAAATATGTTTATCACTTGCAATAGAGTCGAAAAAGGTACTTAATATTTTTGCAGAAAAACATAGACCTCTAAGTTTGGTTTAACCCGTCGTTGGTATCGCCATGCAGCGTTCCACCATTGGTATAGGTGAGCATTGCGCTCACCTCGTTGTTTTTCCAACATTACTCATTTTATTATAAACATAGAATATTGAAACCAACACCAAATTGTTTATATTTTAATCTTTTACTAAAAATGTTCTTACAATTTTCCTTGGTTATAAATATTTTGAACAATAAAAATTAATTTATAATTTTATATAATATATAATAATATTATTATCATTCATCTTGGCCCGAGTGGTCAGACATGGTTTGCTGATTGTTACTCAGTATGCATGTAAATGTTGTGTGCTCTTTACAAATCGGTCTGCTACATACTACACACTGA